TTTCTCATCCCACAGCAGTTTACTGAGCATCTACTTTGTGCCAAGCACCATGCTGGGGGTGGAAAACACAGAAGTGAATAACACACCCAGTCCCTGCCCTCACGGTCTAGCAGGAACTGCAAGAGCCCGTGTTGACCCAGCACTGTTCCAACGTCTGAGACTTTGGATTTGACAAACAGGTCCTCCTGCCTCTGGGAAGGTGACCTTTGGTATTAGACTAGGGGCAATTCTTCAGCTTCCCATAAATCAGCTAAAATAGTTCACAAGGTCACCCAACCCCTTTTGTCCTCGCTCAATAAAGCCACCTGTTAGTAATATAAGCTTGAAGATATTTCCGTAATAGGAAAGACAGCTATAGAGAAGGGATGGGGGGTATTCTTACACTAGAAGGTTGACCTCCACACGGAATGAAGAAACTCACCCTGGCCTTACCCACTGGCTTCTTTGTGTGTGGTTCACATTCACTGCTGAGGCAAGACCAACTCAGGGTAAATGGTCAAACTCTTGGCTTTGAACTTGCAAAGCAGAGGCCCAGGTGCCATCAATAGTGACAAGAGTTTCAGCTTGGAACACAGAGATGATGTCAGTTAGCGCTGCTCCACTGATCATCACCTCATCCCTGCTCTCCTGTCCACTCTTTCTTACCCCTCAAAAAACCACACTGTGTTTAATACATATTTTTTTACTCAAGTGGACTGTATGTGAATGGATTGGTAATCCATTACAGAAAGGCCCATTTTTGTTTTGTGCTGTAGTTCTCAAACCTCTGATAGAGACACACATGTGATTTGGGAATATCTAGGTACTGGTAAAAACTGCACTTTATGTCTCACACTCTTGTTATAAGTCTCCAACAACCCAATAGGAATAGCCCAACTCCCATTTAAAGGATGAGAAAATCAAACCCCCAAATTAACTTGCTCGGTTTCCCACAACTGCTAACACAAAGCCAGAATTCAAGGTCAGGTCTTTAAGCTCCAAAACAATGCTCTTTCCACTATCCCAGAGCTGTCTGCTTACAATTTCAGTTCCTTCTTTTTGTATCTTGTCTCAGCACATCCTGGTGGGCAACTATTTTACAACCTGCTGGTTTTCTGGGAGCAGCCCCAGATTACTGACCAGAGGAGGGCCTGCGGCTCCTCTGCCCCCTACACCCTTGGCTAAGCAGCTCGTTGCTGTGTCCGTCCCTGCCCCCCCACCCCACCCGGGCCTCTCTTGCCTCCTGCACAGGAATCCCCTATCTGTCATCGATGCCTGTGAACCTACTTTTAGAAATAGAGGGGAGCACGTGGATGGCACACACTGAGGTTCTTTAGGAGTTTATTAGTATTTTTGCAGAGGCTGCTCAGTTTTAAGTCAATTGATTTCAAGATAAATGACCTCCTGACGAAGACATCTTTTTCCTGCTTTCCTCTTCCACACTGCCCATCCACAATATGGATTTGTTTTTTGGGTTCTTTTCTTTTACCCCCTACGGCTTGTCCATAGCACCCTGTGTTCGGAAGACAGGGATATTAAGTAGCAACAACTATAGCTGATTTCTCTCTCAAGAAGGCCAAGAGGAAACAGATCTACCGCTCTTTGATCTCCCTAGGGAATGGCACTGCACCTTAATAGCTTTATGCAGAAAGAGACTGCTGTTTTAAAGATCTGAAAAATGTCCATGGATGGATCCCAATGCTTTATGAAACCCCCTGAGTTAATAACTACTATTTTAGGGGTGGGGTGTATATACGTACAAGTCAGAAACTAGAAAAAATTTTTATCATATTAAAACAGGGAAGAAATTAAAATGTACATATGTAGTAAAGTCTCTGCATTTGGGGGACATAATTCTGACTTTTTTTTTTCATTGGGGGGAATTGGGGGAATGGGAACAGTGCTGGGGAATTGGCGGAAGGGGAACAGACAAGTTGCTGTCGTCTTGTTCTTCAGTCTAGTTGTGGAGGACGTTGCTTCACTGGCCCAAGTTGGCACCATCATTGCGCTCTTCTCTGGCGAGGCAGATCAGTCGCCGGCTTGTGGACGGCCGCTCACTGCGGCTGCTGGCCGCTCACGCTGGCTGCTGGCTACATACAGTAGCCCATGGCAACCCACTGCCACAGGGGCTGCAGCCTACACCGTCGCCAGCGACTCATGGCAGCCCAGCTCCAGGTTGAGCTGTTGTTCAGCATCTTAGCTGTGGAGGGCAGTGTCACTGGCCCTCATATGTGGGATCCGAACCAGGGCCCTCTGGCATCCCAAGCGAGTTCTTAACCATCACGCCACTCGGCCGGCCCAATTCTGACATTTATGTTTAAAAAAACCCCACACTGGTCTGTTCAACATGTTTCTTTGCTTTTACTAGGTCAATGGTGACAAAATAAAAATGCAAGCACTGAGATAAATATGCTTTTGAACTTAACATTATAAGTGTCACTTCTAAATTGTTAAGATCAGTCAATTAGCAGACTATGTCACAAGAAAAAATAAAAAATTAAACAAAGGCAATGATAATGTGTATAAACTGAAATAACTTCAATTTCAAAATTAGTGGTAGCATTCCTTTCCAATTAAGTAGCTTTCCAGTGTAAGATACACAGCATAGTATAAAGATACCAGACATCATTAGCCATGAATCTTCAAATACCTTCTTAATAATAAAGTATGCAAAAAAATTCAGTAAGTTCTGACCCATGTTCTGACATGTCTCTTTTATATTAATTCTAAAATTAGGCTCTCTAATTTAAAGTAGGAATCACTGCCTCTTTTAACGAGATCAAAATAAAACAGACAGAACCAGTTTGCATGTAGATGGACTCTGTGTGGTTTGCAATAGTCACTTATAGCCTGGAAGAGTTCCCTCCAGGTCCTATTTTGCAGATAGGATCCTGTCTCCAAAAAGCATAAACCAACTATGGCCAAAATGAAATTCCAGAGAAAGGAGCGGCCATTTTCCCTCCATTTCAATAGGACACATTAGCCTAGTCTGAAAGCCAATTATTTCTATAGATGCAACAAATTCTTGGGGCAGGGCCACAGTCTCTACAACTATGTGAATTTAGGACTCAGGACTTGCTGAACTGCAAGCCAAGAGATGATGTAGTAAACATGAAAAACCATCCAAGAGCCCCTGCCCTCTCCATCAAGTCCTGGTCCTGTCAATAGTGACAGTACCACTCCCCTCATTTTGATACCCTTCCCACACCCCTCCCAGTCTTAGAAAGCTAGACATTTCATTCTCCTACTGCAGCTATCACTTCCTATAAGTGCCTGGTGCTTGAGGCAGCAGTGGTAGAAGACCTAGCACATAGTTAATAATTTTAGAAAAAAGCACAAGAAGGATGAGACATAGACCTGGGCCTCCTTTTTGCTGGACATGCAAGCTCTCTTTCTTAATTACTAAGCCCCAAACCCATGGCAAGAAGACAAGCCAAGGCTATCTTCCCACTCACATAAACACAAAGATTCATGGATAGTATTTTTTAGTTCTCTGACACTTTCACATAACAGCTTTAAATAATGCCCAAATATTCATATAATAAGGGCACATATTTTTTTTTTACTCATTTGAATTGTTTGTGTATGGAATTGGTAATCCAATATAAAAAGGCCCATTTTTTGTTTTAATTGTGCTGTAGTTCTCGAACCTCTCATAAAGACATACATGTGATTTGGGAATATCTAGGTACTTGTAAAAACTGCACTTGCCTCACCAAATACTACAGAAAAGCTTTGAAAGCTGTTGACCCTCTCACCCCTGGGACCCTCAACCTGTACTGCTCAGCATGTAAGCTTTCCCAAAGGCTAGGGCCCTGAGTTAGTCCAAGACCCTATCCCAGCCCTGTCTCCAGGGACCTGAGGCCAGCCAGACCTTATGCCTGGTGAGGGCAACTGGCTCTGAGGAATCTAATGAGCAAAAAGGACCAATCCCATTCAAACTCAGAGTATTTAGGTAGAAAGGGCTCTCCCTCGAAATGTGGAGTCAGTCACTTAGTTATTTCCACCAGTGTCCATGTGAGGAAGATAGAAAAATGGCAAGGAGACATGTGAAAGGAAGCATGGCCCCTGGTTTTGACTCTGGTTCCACACGCTGTCCCAGGCCTACCTGATGTAGTCAACCAGGCTGCAGTAACTGGCTCAGCAGAGAAATGCCAGGCACCACAGGAACCACCAAAGGCCGCACTTTACTCGGACACCTGTGTGAAGGGGAAGATGCAAGTGCCGTTTTGAGAATCACAGTCTTGAAATCTTTCCCCTGAAGTTGCTTCAGGTGGAAGATTAGAACGCATACATGGCCAAGATGACTTTGTAACATTGGGTTATATGCTTTTCTTAATCACACCGATCTCATCGGCTCAATACACCCAGCAGCACACCTTTCATGGGGTGGATACCCAGAAAATCTGAAAAATGAGTTAAGCGTTCAAGTTCCTTTTCTTGCATGGCCTTGACTATCCTCATCTTCCAGCAGCAAAGGCCTCAAGACAGGGAAGTAGCGGATATTGGTTCCCTTGGAGAAGAAACGACCCTAAAAGGCACATTAAAGTCATTATTAGCAGATACAATCCCATCTCAGGAGGAAAAGTCACAGCAGAACATGTCCCAGTTCTGACTCCTGTACTGGGTAGCTGCGGGACTTAAGCATGTCACTTCATCTCTCTGGGCCTTGGTACCCTCATCTTAAGTGGGGACAATGACCCGATGAGTTCTCAGGTTTTTTCTTCCCAATCCAGTCTACTCCCACAGACCCCACCCAGCCCACCTCCCAGCTATGGTTCTGTGACTAAGGATTTACACTGGAGACCTAGGGTCCCACTCCAGGAGGCCAGTGCTTTCCACATTAGTAACTGGGCTTGCAACGGGGACAAACGGTGATACATCGAACAGCCCCTAGGATAAATGAGGGTCACTATTAAGCATGCATTATTCTTCATAAGTTAGTACTGGCATCTAGCCAAAACCCTTAATGGAAAAAAGGATTAAAAAAAAAACCCAGTATATTTTATTTCTCTTTAAAGGAAAACTGCCAAGGATGCAGAAGGAAATGAAGATGATCAAAGACGAGGATGTGCATTTCAATTTGGGTGTGAAGCGGAACCCCTCCTTTCCCCACTGTCTGCAGCCAGTGGCTTCTCGAGGGAAAGCTCCCCCAAGACACTCCTTCCCAGAAGCTCTCCGGGGGCCTTTTTCTCAGTTCCGGTATGAGCCTCCTCCTGGAGACCTAGATGGATTCCCGGGGGTCTTTGAAGGAGGCGGGTCTCGGAAACGGAAGAGCATGCCCACCAAGATGCCCTGTAATCACCCAACGGAAGAATCTGCTCTTGCCCTCCAGTCTGAGGAGAGCAAAAACCATGCCCCGCCGAACTACCCTCTGCTGTTCCCGCAACCCCCGCGCCCCAAGTATGACTCGCAGATGATAGACCTGTGCAACGTGGGCTTCCAGTTCTACCGCACCCTGGAGCACTTGGGGGGCAAGCCCGTCAAGCAGGAGCCCGTGAAGCCCAGTGCCGTGTGGCCCCAGCCGACACCCGTTCCATTCCTGCCCACGCCCTACCCGTACTACCCCAAAGTCTCCCCGGGCCTCATGTTCCCCTTCTTCATGCCTTCGGCCTCCCCCTTCCCCTTTAGCCGGCACACTTTCCTGCCCAAACAGCCCCTGGACCCGCTGCTGCCCCGCAAAGCTGAGCCCCAGGAGAGCGAGGAGACCAAGCAGAAGGTGGAGAGGGTGGATGTGAACGTGCAGATCGACGACAGCTACTACGTGGACGTGGGCGGAGCGCAGAAGCGCTGGCAGTGCCCCAACTGCGAGAAGTCTTACACTTCCAAGTACAACCTGGTGACACACATCCTGGGCCACAGCGGGATCAAGCCACATGCGTGCACCCGCTGCGGGAAGCTCTTCAAACAGCTCAGCCATCTGCACACCCACATGCTGACCCACCAGGGCACGCGGCCCCACAAATGCCAGGTGTGCCATAAGGCCTTCACTCAGACAAGCCACCTGAAGCGCCACATGATGCAGCACAGCGAGGTGAAGCCACACAACTGCCGCGTATGCGGCCGGGGCTTTGCCTACCCCAGTGAGCTCAAGGCCCACGAGGCCAAGCACGCCAGTGGGCGGGAGAACATCTGTGTGGAGTGCGGCCTCGACTTCCCCACCTTGGCCCAGCTGAAGAGGCACCTCACCACGCACCGGGGCCCCATCCAGTACAACTGCTCCGAGTGCGACAAGACCTTCCAGTACCCCAGCCAGCTGCAGAACCACATGATGAAGCATAAGGACATCCGGCCGTACATCTGCTCCGAGTGCGGCATGGAGTTCGTGCAGCCCCACCACCTCAAGCAGCACTCCCTCACCCACAAGGTATTGCGAGGGCCCCCAACCCAGGGCGAGGGTGGGGGATGGGGATAGGGGTGCTGGCGGGGCCGTGGGGAAAATGAGCAGAGTTTGGGGACCCGGGGCCAGGAGACCTGTGCTGCTCCCCACCTCCGACGGGAGGAGCTGTGTAACCCTGGGCAGGAGGCTTCCCTTCCCAGAGCCCTGACGTCTTTCCTCGCCTTGGAATGGGGGAGTAGGAGGAGACTAGCAATCAAGTCCTTTCCCATCCAGCCTTCTGGAGTTGGAGGTGGGCCTGGAAATAAATACTGTGGACCATTTGGAGAGGACGGTGGGGAAGGATGAAGGAAACAGCTGCTCTTCGTGCTGTTGTTTCTTAGCCTCCTAGAATTTCTAAAATTCTGTTTCTGGAAACTTCATCCAGGGCCCTAGCATGAGCGTGTCATCAGGCTGTCTCGACCCAAGAGCAGCCCTGAGCCCGGGATATGCTAATCGGAGCCTTTTTCTAAAGAATTCTGTTGGCCTCTTGCTGCTGAAGCAGTGGCTGCCCTTTGGGCTGTTTTCTCCCTCACTTGTGAGACCTGCTTTATACCCAACCCCCCCCTCCACCCCCACCCCATGGAGTCCCTGCCTAGCTGGCTGCAGTGCTCTGTGGTTTGTATTCTTAGAGGCATGAGAGAGCATCCTTCTCTGTTTAGTTTGGTTTTACCTTTCCTGGTCTTCAAGGAGAAATACAGGCCCACAGGTCTAAGTTCAGCATAGTTTGCAACCAAAACCCTGGAGTCATTCAGGATGAACTAAAATGAACTAAAACAAGGCCCCAGTGACGTCCCTGAAATCTTACCTGGCTAAACTGACTTGGGACTGCTTTGAGCTGCCGAGAGGGGAGGTTTGCCCCACTGACCTTTACCCTCACACCTTTGACCTGAAGTGGTTTTCTTGGCAAGAGAGACTTCTAATAAGCCAGAGTTTGGGAACATTCTTTAGTTCTGAAAGGTCACTGGAGGACGTTGCCCAGCCAAGATACCATTTCTGCTCTGCCACAATGGGTTTCATTTGATAGGTTAGGACAAAACACAGGCCGTTTCTGGCTCTGCCACAGAGACGAAATGTGTGGCTGCCTTGTGGACTCTGTGAAGACAGCTCCTGCCCTACTCAAGGCACCTGTAGACACCACCCAGAGAAGATCTGTGTCACATTAACTTGGCTGCTAAGTGCAGGACCATCAACAAAGAACCTAGACTAGGATTCAGCCACCAAGGGGGTCATTAGCCGATTTCAGGGGCTCCTACATGTGTGAAAAAGGAATCCAAGCTGCATTTTGGAACATATAAAAAGTATGCAAGATAGCAGGAAATGAAGTCACAATGGGAAAAACAACCCAGTATCTGAAATAAGTCTCATTTAAATTAGGAAACAAAATGCATTTTAATTAAAGGTGTCAACAAACAGCGAGAGTAGTATTTATTGAACACTTGTTCTATGCCAGCTGCTTTACTTCTCATTTAGTCTGCTTCAACAATGCTGAGCTACCTGTGGGTATCATTACTCCAAATTTGCAGATGACACGCCGAGGCATGAGGAAGTCACCCAGAATCTCTGACTCCAGCACCTCTCTTGATCACTACTGTCCAGACATCCCCTTCTTCACCCCTTTCCCTCCCCTCATCCTTCACTACCAACGGACTGCAGCCTCCCTTTCTGTGACTTCACTAATCCTCTTAGGAACACAGCAGCTTCCGTTGTTCCCCGAAGTTGTGTCCATGCTTCCATTCACTTGGGTTCTACGCCAGCCCACATGTGAATTTTACTTTGGACAGAGAATTCTCTTCAGAGAATTCCAAAAACAGTGGTAAGTCGATAGTTTTCCTTGGTCCCAGGACAACTAGATCTTAGCCAAGTATAGAGACAATCTTGAGAGGAAAGATGATGAAGTAAATTTTACAACGCATTGCAAAAATAGTTTTCATTAATTTCATAATTTTAAACTCATGGTTTGAATATGCAACATGTTTTTAAAATTCATCTTCTTAGGAGGGCATTAAAATTGAGATCCCTTCAATAGCATGAATTCATACTCATCTGCAATCATCTAGACTAGAGAGCATTCTAGCTGGCAAGAGGCCCCGGGCTCTCATGACCCACCACTTGCTCTTGAGATCAGGAAGCCTTCACCAGGAATGGCCACAAGACTTGTCTTAAGTTATGCAGCCAGTAATTGTCTGGGCAGAGTCCTGAGCTCACCCTTGAGTGCCATGGGCTCACCAAAACTGAGGAGTACTACTTTCTTACCATGTCCCAAATTAAAGAAATGGAAATATAGGCAGAGAGAATCAAAGCTAAGCATGGAACCCCTCCAGCTATAGGTCACTATGGATACCAGCCAATATGGGATTTATAAAGTACAATTTGTTAGCTAAGCAACTTGTTCTAATCTTGTAATAACCTTGGTTTTAATGCCATGAGTCTTTTCGTTTTCCTTCCAAAAAGTCATTCTGTGTCAAGATCTCTTGCAAAAAGGCCTTTTCAAGGAAGCAATGGTTAGTAAGGATTAGCTACTACTCTACCCATGCCGTGAGTCCCTGGAAATGCTTTCAACTTGAGGGCATCAGTGCCTAAGTACTCAAAGACTTCTCCACAAACAGCAAGGCAACCACAAAATCCCTTTTTGTCCCGTTTTCTAATTCAGAAAGCTGTGCTCTGCCAAATCTCTCTATAGGACAGAAGCCATCTTAGAGGAAGTTCCATATCCAAATTACACAGAGGTCACTGTGGCCTGTGGGAACCCAGGGGGACCATCTTAAGAGGAGATTATCAAGTTATAATTTATTGAAGTGTGGATATGAGTTGTTCTCGGATTTTCAAGTCCATTAATGAGAACTCAAGAGAACATATGGGAACTGATATTATCAGTTTAGGAGGTTTATTTTTTTCATTGTCACGAAAGCCAGATTACAGACTCATTTCGCATATCATTCCACACTACTCTTACCAAAATCCCATTATCCCCCAAAACTATTACTGTAGAATTAGCCCCAACAGCAGCAGAAACAACAAAAGAAATAGTTTTCTTTTCCTCTAACAACAGTTCAGGTAGTTTATGGTTTTCAGAAGAATAAAAAAAGATTATGTAATCAGCACTTTTCAAGAAAATAGCAGTTTAACAAGGCTAAAGCCACATCATTTGGAACACAACATCTGTCTCCAAGCTCTTTGTGGATTTATGTGGCAGAGAGAAAAACAAAGACTATAACCCTGATGAAAGCATGTTACCTGCTAACCGCATTTTTTTTTTTAATCTTGCCTCCCTCCAGGGTGTGAAAGAGCACAAGTGTGGGATTTGTGGGCGGGAGTTCACTCTGTTGGCCAACATGAAGAGACATGTGCTGATCCACACCAATATCCGCGCCTACCAGTGTCACCTCTGCTACAAGAGTTTTGTGCAGAAACAGACCCTCAAGGCACACATGATCGTTCACTCTGATGTGAAGCCTTTCAAATGCAAGGTGGGCTGGGGCCCCTGGGAGAGTGCAGAAAGGGAGGACTCAGAGGGTTGTACAAATGCCCGATGGGGAAGAGTCTCCGGGGAACCTTCTACTCCATTTCATGGGCGGGGCCGCGGAGGCATAGAGTAGGTCCATGGCCAACCCCAGGCACGCCTACTGCTCTGCCCCTCTTTCCACCACACATATGTTCACACCAGTCCTCAGCTGGGCCCTGAAGAGCCTGCCCTCTTTGTCTCCCTGTGAAATCAGTGCCCAGTGGGTGGGGGCAGCCAGCAGGGGAGGTCTGAGGGCGGAAGGCCCATTTGGGGAATGAGATTGTTAAAGGATAAAGGTGACGTGGGACACTCCTGTTCTAGAAAGGAGCAATCAGGTGTAGCCCTCTTCCCTTGATAAGACAATGAGTAGAATACAGAAAGGAGTCGGAGCGGCTTCTAGCACTGCCCTTTTCTCTTCCCACTCCCCCCACCTCCTGCCTTCCTGACACTTGGACTGAGCAGTGTTATCGGAGAGCAGGTCTCCCAGAGAGGAAGAAGGAGATTCTGAGGTCAGCTCTCAGATGACCTCAGAAGTGCTTGCCTGGACTGGGGAATAACTGTGAGCACAGCCATCTGAAACATTGCTCATTTATTCCGAAAGACCATGAAGCATCTTTGTTAAAATCTGTGTCACATTAACTTGGTTGGATTTTTATTTCATCAGCTGTGTGAGCTGGAGATTTGTAAAACCCAAAGCACTGACTGGTGTTACTCAGAAATGCTCGGCCTTCCCAGGCTGTCCCCCCTCCAACACACACACACACACATGGTTTCCTTTCTCCACCTCTAAGACAAAAAGGAATCTTGCTCCCGATTGGGTAGTTTCATTCAAGGAATGTACGCGCAGTGTCATCCCAGTCATGAGGAGAGGGCTGAGGGGGAAGAAGAGGGAAACCACCATGCTCAGATATCATTTGAGCCTTTCCGTTTGAAATGGGCATTTTCCTTCTCTGTGTTGCTGCTTGACTGACGGGCTCTCAATGATAGTCTCAGTCGATCTCTATTTCTAATGTAGGGTGCCTTGCTTCCAGGGGCTGTACTTGCCTTAATCCCTCTGCAGTCTCCCCACTTGAAGGAACCCCCTGTGAAGCTGCCTTCTTTCCTGTGTTGGCCACTCCTGGACAGGGTGAGAGGGTCAGGAACCAGAGCTTCCCTAGATGTCTGTGGGCATTCTCCGGAGGTGGGGGAGGGAGGTTTCTCCCTCCAGCCCTTTTCCTGCCACCTACTTGTGTTTCTCCTCCTTTCCTTCAAGTTGCCAGTGGTTTGAAAGTCATTTTGTGTCCATCTTGAGTCATCTGCGCTGAAGGGAGAGGAAGCTGCAAGCAGGACGGGCCTGGTGCATAAGGAAATTGCAGGGCCCCTTGTTCAAATGTAATGAAGAATTTTAAGATGGTGAGAGCAGGGCATTACACCAAACTCAGGACCCTTCTGAGTTTGGGGCCTGTGTGACTGCACAGGTCACACACCCGTGAGGCTAGATTGGCTGCGTGAGCCAGTGGAAACCACAGACCACCTCGTTTTTTTTTCTTTAGACACGTCTTTGATTTCCTTCCCACTTCACTGAGCCCCATAAACCCTTCACTTCTTTTTTTTTTTTAATTGGGGCATAGTTGACTCTTTTTAAGGAGGGGGCAGCTTACAGTGGTGCATGCAGGGATCGAACCGGCAACCTTAGTGTTATCAGCACAACATTCTAACCAACTGAGCTAACCCGTCACCCCCTGAGCCTTTCACTTTTAACAGAGCTGTCCCCACTTGCCAGAGGTTCACTGTCTCCTACAATGGAGGTACAAGCAGGGGCTCTTTGCCACCCTTCATTCCGTGTATTGCATTTACTCTTGAACTTCAAGCGTGTACTGATTTTTATCTTATCAACTGGTGGTAGACAGCACATAGAGTTGTTAAAATATGAAGGGAGCCACTGTAGTTTGCAATCCCCTAAATATTCACACGTGCCCACTCCAACCAACCCTTACCTCCACCTGATCAATTCAGGCTCATCAGTAGTGATTAAACCAGGCAGAAACTGTCTCTGAAACAGAGGGATATGTCAGGGAGCAGAGCCGATACAGGAAAAGGGCTTGTGTGTTATTTGGGGGCCCAGAGGCTGTTCTGTTTTTGTATATCAGGGGCCTCAGAGAGGCTGAGAGGATTTCTTAGACCAGGTGGTATCTGAGGATTTAGAGGCTTCTCTCTGGTACCGCTGCATAGAAGTATACAGTGCAGCGCAGTCTGGGCCCATAATACAGTGAGCCAGTGTAGCTTGGTGTTTCCAGCCTCCCTTCATGAACGACTGCTCCTCCTCCACCTCGGTGACAGTGCACCATATATGTTTCATATATGTTTGATGGTCGCCTTTATGGTTCAGAAATCCTACCTGACCTCTCCTTGAAGGTGTGTTAGGCCCTGGATGTCTGGTCACACCATTGGACCCCATAAGAGAGGGGCTGGTAGCATGAAATGCCAACTCTGAAATGATGCATAGTTTATACTCTCCAAGGGGAGATGGGTCTGGTGCAGGAATTGGACTGGTCATCTGCAAAGGTCACTTGTTCCTGGTGGATAGGTTCTCTCAGCAGACCACACTGTAGGTCAAGAGGCTGCCTAGGAGAATGTATCTATCATTAGAACAAAAAGAACTGGATGTTAAAGGCTATTTCAAACTTGGTGGCCCTTCTCCATTCTTAGATACTTCTGAATCAAGAACCAGATGTCAGTTACCTCAGTCAGGAGCCCTCTGTCTCCTGGAAAGTGCCAGAAGCACACTGCCAGGTTCTTTCTCTCTTTGTTCCCATCTCCCCGCAAAGTGCCACTCTGCTTGGTATTCTCTTCCTTCCATCACCCTTCTTCATTTCAAAGCAATTTCAGAGCATGTCTGAGTTTTCAGATTATATAATGGGGTTTGGTGTTGGTAAACTAGCTCCAGATCTCACAGTGGGAGGGGCCATCCCAAGATGGTGTTTTGTTTGTATCCCATCCATTTTGTGCAGGATTCTTAGAAATATGGCCCTGTGTGGAAGTTGTTGAGAGTTTGGGAATTGGGAGAGGAATAGAGGGCCATTTGCTCATTCATCGTTATGCAATTCACAGCTATCAGAGATAAGTGGCTGGCTGGCTACATAGTGATGGTGGAGAATAGGCCCAGACAACTAAACCCAGGCTTTATCGTGCTAATGGGGCAGAGTTATTCCCTTCACATGATTGACATGGCTGAAAAAAGAGGCAGGCCTTGCTCCAGCCATACTCTAAGAATTAGTTCTGTCTCCTTTACCCCAAAACTTGCAAAAAAGGGAGATTTTTTTTTTTAAGTAACAGATTCTTAGGACTCTCACCACTAAAAATCCTTCCTAAAATAAATCCCTCCCCCTGTTGCAACATGATCTGGTTCTCTCCAGCCCCATGCTCAGTGGAAACAGCTGTCCACAGCAAGCAGCAAAGTTCACTCACTGTGGGATTAAGCATTCACAATAGAATGGAAAATTAGAGGAGAGGAAAGGTTTCCATTCTGTTTCTTTTTTTTTTTTTCCTTATAAAAAAATTACTGCCCTTCTGAGCTCTTTTGCTATTGGCTCAACTTCTGGACGCCTTGCTCCCTGGAGCCAGCTGGAGCTGGTCCAGAGACCTGCGCCTGTAGGCTCAAGCCATGTTTCAGAAAGATGCTTCCCAGATTCTGCGTAAGCACACAGGGCTGGATTTGGATGCTATCCTTGTAGCAGCCACACTCCATAAAAGCAAAGAACCAGCTGCCGTCTTTGGGAAACCTGTCCAGGAAAAGCAGCCATCCAGAATTTCCGGGACAAATTCTCCTTTGAGATGGGTGAAGCCGGGAGCTGCCTAAGTTATGAATCACCAGGTCATCTGCAACGGGGTCTGAAACAGAGGCCTGAAGGCCAAGGGCAGACCTGAGAGGAGAGGATAAGGTCCTGCCACCTGCACCAAACAGGCTCCATCTTTCCCGCCAGCTCTTGGAAGCCTCATAAAAGAGAAACCAGGTCAGGACTTGTAGGGGCCCGGTACTTGAGACCAAGGTTCTTGGGCTGGCATGGAGGGGGTTAAGGCAGTGACCAGATAGCAGCCTTTTGGCAGCAAAGCCCTCCTCAGCAGAAGGAAGGATATAGCTGTATGAACTGCCTGCTTAACAATGCCTCACATGTCCCCAGGGGCCCGCCTGCAAATAGATTTCATCTTGCTTTCTCTTGTACTTTTCAAAGCTTCCTGTTTTCTCACGGCCCTCTTGGACAGTTTACAGTCTCTCTCTCCCTCCCTCCCTCTCTCTCCCTTTGAGGAAAGGAACACCCTTCTTATTAAAAGAGAGAGAGAGAGAGAGAGAGAAGAATGTAGGGGAAGGGCAGTTTAGCAGAGGCCATTCTCCTCAGCTGCAGGCTGCAGCTCTTTGACCTTTTCTCTCAGAATAGGAAAACACAGGCTTCCTGGTGCATCTCAGACCTCAAGCTCAGATCAGGCTGGTTGGCGCGAAGTAGAAGCAGCGTGCCTCTTCTTGGCTTTGTGGGCCTCAGTGGCTCAGTGGCTACCCTGTCTCTGCACGCAGCAGACTTGACTTCTCAGTGGCCCTGCTGTCAGCATTGTTGCTGGGGCTCATGGGAAGTGGCGTAAGGCATCACCAGGCCCTGGACCAGGGAGGGAAGGGGCACCAGGAGGCTGGAATTTGGAACCCCATCTATGAAGATGAGGAACAGAGCATCTACCAGCTGTTTGAAGGGCTGACTAAGGATCAGGGAGCCAGCTAAGGGGCTCTCCCAAAGCCTGCAATCTAGAATGAATCTTCTCTTTCCATCCACACTTCCCAGTGCTGGGTCAGGCACAACTGCTTCCATTTCTAGTATGCCTCAAGTAACCTGGCAGGTATTTACTCAAAGAATTCCTCACCTGGTCCTTCCTTTAATATTTCCTCTAAATAATTTGGTTTAAAAAGACAACAACCTCATCTTCAAAGATCTTTCTATTTCTGGAATATAAGCATCTACTATGTGCATGATAATGATAGGAACAAGAGCTAATATTTATTCATCTCTATTTGCCACACCCGTTACATGAATTATCTTATTTGATCCTTACAACAACCTTCATAAGAAACTATTATCATCGACATTTTACAAAAGAGGAAACTGAGCACGTTCTCTTTCCCTTTGGAGTCTCGCCATCACCTCTCTGCTCTGCCATCTCAAAGCCTCATGACCCATGCAACCCATTTTTAAAAGACAGTTCAAAGTATTTGTTCCAATTTTTTATTAAATGTTGAGGTCCACTCACCTCTTAAAAAGGAGATATAAAAGTGGGTATCCGTGGAAAAGCTGAGATTTAATGTCCTACACACTAATACCCCTCATTAGAGCATCCGAGATGACCACCTGCAAGATGAAATCTGAGTCTCACCACTCCAGCCGCTTCCTGTACCAGTACCTGCCCCTATTTTAATCTTCTCAGATCTTGGCAGGAGATGATTCAGCAAGTATTGACTTGGGCAAGCTCTGAGCCTCACATCTCATGATTAAAGGGGGCCTTGACATAGATGTCTGCTTTTTCCAGGAGAAGAAACTAGAGTTTTGGTGGTCTCTCTCAACCTTTCTTCTTCCTTCCAGTCTAACTCTCCTCCTCTACTACAGTGATTCTGCTTGGAGCTCATATCGCAAACCCCACCTAAGGGTGCCATCTTTAATTGACCCAATCTTCTTTCTCTGGCCTCTCTTCACTAACAGTGACTGAGAGCCCTCTCTCTGAAATTCATGGACACAAAATATCTCCATACATTCGTGTATTGACATGTGAAGACAATGTTCTGAAAAAAAGATGAAGAGGCCAAGTGTTCTGGATAAGAACCAAAGGGCTTTGTGGAAGGGTCAGAGGCTGAGAGGAAGAAGCTAAGAGTGCCTACCACTGAGATGTGAATGGTATTGAAGTCCCTCGGGCCCTGAGTTAATTGTCTCTATTCTTCTGCCACTGAGGATTTTGGTTTACAAACTAGTGTGTATAGGGTTATATACACTATAATGGGGAAAGGCAGAGAGTTGGTGATGGCTGCTTTTTGCACTTTTTACATGGGATAGTAATATTTTTCTGACTTGTTTGTTTAGTCCCTGAGCAAAATACTTAGCTATCTATTGCTACTATGTGTGTACCCTTTTGCTTGATACTGGGGTTAGCCACAAAGAAAAGGAAGGTAATCCTTGCGTGTCTGAAGATGGTCTTGGCACCTTTTACTGCCCCAAACATCTTGCATTGTTGACACACCTCCACTCAGCGCTGGGAAAGCTCCCTATTGGCTGGCCCAGTAGGTTACCATAGACCATGAAGGATAAAAATTAAATTTTACCAGCAGCACAGAAATCAGTCTCCTTTACCAATCACACATCAGATAATATGGCTGACCAGTCATGCCCCACAGTGGACCTTTCCTGAGGCTACAGGCCTTGACTTGAGGGGACAATATTATTTTAATGTCCCTATGTACCACTGAAATGTCCCAGGAAGTTCAGCAGTGATGAATTGAGCCAGAAAAACATTAAAATAGAAAAACATACACTAGGGTATGATAAAGGATCATAAAAGGTTGCTTGTCTAAGGCTAGGTAACGTTCTGGAAAATACCATTGGTAGCCATTGTAATGTGTGCATACCTGGTGTGTGTGTTGGGGTGGGGCAAGGTGAGGAGGAAAGAGGTGGGACCTTGGGGCAGGTGATTGCAGGACCTGCTCTAACCCCAAGGTCACAGCAGCTATGGCAGCAACAAGCTGTTAATCATTATTACAACAGTGATAGTCACCTGGCCTGTAGTTTAAGGATGAATGAGGTCTCTAAAACTATTTAATGAAAAGACTTTATTCTTCTGTCGAAACAAAATATTCTTCAAGGTTAGGCTAAAATTTCTTCTCCTTTACAAAACCTTTTTGGACCAGTTCAGCTTCTAATACCTCAATAACCATAAATAATAACTAGTCAAGTGCAGAAGGCACCCGTCTCATCTCTCCAGCTCTGTCTGTCTGGCCTATAGGACAGTGATGCCCATTTAGGCTTGGACTAGTGCAGTAGCCTAATTGATCTTCCAGCCTCCAGCAACTCTCCCCCTACATGTCTTGCGCTTAACTACCCACAGATTTTGCTGTTTTCAGATCTGCTGCTACAACATTACTCCAAATAATCAGGAACCATTCTATGAACCAAATGAGATATACTTTTTTGTAAAAATGACCCACAACTGGAAGCACCTAATGTATAATCTCTAGATTCAAAGCTTTTTTTCCTTGGCCAGCATGGAGAACTTCATAAACTAAGCTAATAAATGGAACTCTACCAGAACTTGTACACACGTGCAAAACTGGACCATGAATTTATATATCTTAATAAATTGTCTCTGTTGAGAATAAAGGAAAGCAAGTATCCATCCACAAGTAGGGCTTCTGAGGACATTTAAATTACACCAACTCTCTCAGCCTTTCCCCTCTTGGGTCACCTTTTCCAAATGAATGTGGTGTGCTGTTACTCTGAATCCTGAGTGTGGGGCACCAGTGTGTTGAATTCACTGTTGCTAGTAAGGAAGTAAAAAGGGGAAAAGTAATTAAAACCCCCCAATATGAATCATTTAAAAATACAGAACCAACCATTCATTACCCATGCATGGATTATCCGTGACAAATTTGTAATCACAGGCTGGCTTCCTCCTACCAACCACCCAGCATCCTTTTGGGCTGATCTCCCAAAGTACCATTTGTTGGGTCTACCTATTCTTCTAAGCCAGCTCAACGCTCACCTCCATAGCCATCTGAAGAAACTGCTGACTTCGTCAATAGAAGTTCAATCCAGAATCCCCAACATTGGCCCTGAAAATACCCCTCAGTGAAAAAGGAAAACCGGGCCGGCCAAGTGGCGCAATGGTTAAGAACTCGCTTGGGATGCCAGAGGGCCCCGGTTCGGATCCCACATATGAGGGCCAGTGACACTGCCCTCCACAGCTAAGATGCTGAACAACAGCTCAACCTGGAGCTGGGCTGCCATGAGTCGCCAGCGACGGCGTAGGCTGCAGTCCCTGTGGCAGTGGATTGCCATGGGCTACCGTGTGTGGCCAGCAGCCAGCGTGAGCGGCCAGCAGCCGCAGTGAGCGGCCGTCCAGAAGCCGGCGACTGATCTGCCTCGCCAGAGAAGAGCGCAATGATGGTGCCAACTTGGGCCAGTGAAGCAACATCCTCCACAGCTAGATTGAAGAACAAAACGACAGCAACTTGTCTGTTCCCCTTCCCCCAACTCCCCAGCACTGTTCCCATCCCAATTCCCCAATAAAAAAATCTTTAAATAAATAAATAAATAAATAAATAAATAAATAAAATAAAGTGCAGAAATAATACCCAAATACATTTTTTAAAAAAAAAAGAAAAAGGAAAACCGGTGTTAGCTTCTGAGGACGCTGTCCCGCAGCTCTCTGTCCGTGGCATCTCTTGCTCCATATTGCTGCCCTCGCAGCTTGGGCCTCTGAGGTTGCGGAGGGAATGAGAATGTTCCTTTCTTAACACTCTGGACCGAACACAGACACAAAACTCCTTTGCATTCCTCCCAGCACAGCCAAGGAAGGGCTAGAGTTCCCAAACCCTGCTCTGGTAAGGCTTAGGGACATCCAACATGAGCACGGGTCCCAGAGCACTGGCTTTCGTCTCACACCTTCCCTGTCTGCATACAGCGCCTTTGGAAGGCAGCTTCTTTTCTGAAAGAAGTTGGAGAACCACTGTTGTGGTTCATCACGCATGTGCACTTTGATGGAAATCGTGAGAAATGACAAAGAAAAAAAATGAATAAAACATGTTTACTGTTGGTATAGCTGAGATAATACTTTCAGTACTTCAAATCTCTATACAGAGAAAAGACACACTCCTTCCTTTATGTGTTTGTTCCTTTTCAATTTAAAATTCATCCCAATAATTAAAAAATTTAAACATTAGAAAAGCATTGCCTGATACAGTCTAACAGAAGAGATCTATGGGGGTGGGAGGGGGAGGCAGGATGGTGGAGTGGTTGACCGTGTGGCCTCTGGTGTCCGATGACCTGAATTCATTATCTCAGTTCCAGCTCTCACTCGCTGTGTGCCTTGGCCAATCCCTTCAACTTAATCCCTTCGTTTGTCCATCTGCAAAATGGGGGTGATAACAGCACCCATCTCTTAGGGTTGATGTGAGAATTAAGTGATCTATCCTATGGCAGACTTACGACAGGGCCTTCCATATTGTAAATATTCAAGTAAACAAGTAATTGTATCTTTATTATTCAAGCAAGGCACACTTTGAGCAATTGCTTTTCGGATCAGCTTTGCTGCTTTGCAAAAGGTTGCATTCAAAAGAAGCTTTAATAGCTTGGTGATTTTTATTTTACGCTGACTTTAAAAAAAAAAAACCCTGTACAACAGGAATAAAATCTCGTGAATCCATCCCTACCGACACCACCCCTGAGCCTGTGCACAGTCCAGCCCCTCCCTGACTTCCATGGGGACATTTTCTTTGGCAGCAGTTTAACATCCCCAAATCTAAAGTAGCAGCACCTCTGTCCTCGCACAGGCCTGGGTGTAGGTTCACGTGCGCCGAGTCACCTGCCCTAGAATAACCTGTGTTGTCTTTGTCACGGTCTGACAGCTGTGTGGGAAGGAATTTAACCGGATGCACAACCTCATGGGTCATATGCACCTGCACTCGGACAGCAAACCCTTCAAGTGCCTCTACTGCCCGAGCAAATTCACCCTGAAAGGGAACCTGACGCGCCACATGAAGGTCAAACATGGGGTCATGGAGCGCGGCCTTCATTCTCAAGGTAATCACTCTTCCAGGACGTCCCCAAGGCTGTTGAGGCTGGTGGGTCACAAAGCGGAGGTGACCTTGTGTTTAGGGGGCTTTACTTTGGGGGAGTTATTCTTATGGTGGAAAAAGGAGTGAAGCTCTCAAGACCGCAGCAGAGTAGCAGGAGCAGGCTGACGGTGTTACAAGAGCAAACACTCATATGATGCTAAAATCTGAAGGGAGTAAGTGAAAGTGAAGTCTACAAAGGAACTTGGAACACCATAACGATGCCAGCCTGTACCGTTATTAGTTCTGTGTTCCAGACGCTGCATCAGGGACCTTGCCTCCTTGAATCTGCACAGCAGCTTCAGGCTGCGGGAACTTCTATTATCCCTATTTTACAGATGGAGAACTGAGGCTTCAAGACATTAATTTACCCAAAGAGTTGCTCATAAAAAAAAGTTGCTCATGAAAAGTGGCTGAGTCAGGATTTGAACACAGACCTTACTGACTCTAAATCATTTATTGGACCTACTTCATCGCACCGCTGTTAAGGGGCTTGCAATTTTTTTTTTCCTTTCTAAAAAAGGTTTGCAAGCTCTGTTGTCAGCAGCAGCGTGCCCATCATGGACTACGTCTCCTCTACTTGTTCACAAGCAGATACTCTCAAGGACAATTTTCCTGCTCAGTAGGGCTGATGGGCCCATGTGCACAGCAGAGGCTTGCACCTCGACCGCACGGAGTCCTAACTGAACTGATAAGTTCTCGTGCGTGTTTTCTCAGTCCCAAGGCCCTCAGCAGTAGAGTTCATGTTCCAAATCTACTGAATTCAGCGGGTTGCTCCTTTGTTACCTAATCAGGCAGTCCTTCAATAAACAGGCAATAAATGCACTCGGTCCAACCCAGGGAGCTATGTGCCATGGCAGAGATGAGGGGAAGGACACCATCTCTGCCCTTTAGGAGATCTGTGTGTGGGAAGAAAAGGCATACATATATTGCAACTTACAAGATCACATTAGCTGGCTACAGTTTTCTGATTACTAGTATGATCGAAGTGCAGGACGAGACACTTTAGAGCTCATGCCCACCATTCCACAAAGTAGACTGTGTAATTTTCAGTTTATATAAGAGGACACCAAGGCCAAGAGGAGTTGTATTAACTGCTCAAGGTCAAACAAGCCTGAAAGCAGAACTGGACTTCCAACTTGAGGATTTCTGAATCAAGCCAGTGCTCACCACACTAGATAAAAATATGAGGTGATTCATTTGTGTGTGCTGTTTCTCCCACCTCTGTACAAAAGATGTGGTCAAGTAGACACACACATTCATAAATAAGATGCACACACAGCAAGCAACAGAATGATTGGCACGTTCAGATTTTTCACAACACCCACTGGGTTTATGGTGACGGCTGAGTGACAGGGAACTGTAGTGATCATAGAACAAGGCCTGGAGTTTGTGCAAAAGCCCTGAAAAAATTCTGGTTAAAAAACCAAAAGCAATATTTTTCCCCTGAAATTGTTTTTCTCCTGAATTATTCTTTGCATCTGTAGTTGCCTGAGGCACTTTCGAAGCTAGGCCTGGATTTTTCCAGAATAGGCGAAACTCGCTCTGTCTCTAGGGCTGGAGACATAGAAGGCAATGATGAGACAGTCTTCCATCTGCAAGCCTAACCTGGTCACCATGACTTACCTTTTACAGATGCTCAAATCCTAAAAGGCATCTAATAACTCTGTCATTCTGGAAAAAGAAAGAGCATCGCTATATATCAGAGAGTTGCTTTGAAACTTTTTAACAGACTTTCAACAATTTTAATGTTTTCATCTACAAAAGGTGTTAGCATTTTTTCACTCTAGTTTTTGCAATGGCTCAAAAAGCATGACCCGGATGAAAAAGACCCTCCCTGGGCCCCTGACAAGATAAAAGCTCTAGACAGCTTCATTGCCTGACCTTATCATAAAGTAGGCAAAATTGGACGTCAGCTTCTTTTGCAAGTATGCCCCCACCCAGAAGCCTGGCTCTCCTGTGGTGCAGTGGGCTCTGGCCGCACCCCCGAACCCTTCACTCCTGTTTCCTCTCTCCAGGAGGCACCACCTGTTCCTTAGGGCCTGGCTGTTGGCTCACCACTGGCAGAGGCCTTACAGAGCAGGTGGAGTGCTACCACGGATCTGTTGGCTGCTGAAAAGTCCATCCTTACTGGGTCCTCAAACTGAAACTAAAAGTGAGACCCTCTCGCATCACTGTGTCTGACAGCAGGGACATTCGTAGTTAGACACAGGGCTTTAGGGCTCCTCAGAGGACCGCTTTATGCCCTCCCTCCTCTGGCTATGCTTAGGGACCCAATTATGGGGTGGCCTCCTTGGCCCCAAATGAAATACCTTTTTTTTTCTAAGATGAAAATACCTCTATTATTGGGGTTTTTTTCTTATGGTAAAATGTATGCTCATTGAAAATAATAAGTGCATTAGAAGTGAAAACAATATCAAAATCGCCTCATTTTTGAGATTTTGACATACATCCTTTTTTTTGAGAGAGAGAGAGACAAAGGGAGAGAAAGGGAGAATTGGGTTAACACTGTAAGTATATACAATAAATACATATTTTTTCCTTAAAATATATAGAGAATACTTTTTTATGATCATAAGTGTGTCTCTACATCTTCTACACATAGTTCTTTGTATAGGCATGCCATTATTTATTTTAGAAAAGCCTCCATCAGATAAATTGTTTTCACAGTTTTGCTATGGTCCTGTGCAGCCTTACACACACATTTTGTGCACCTGCCTCCCTATTTTCATAGTTTAAATTCTCGGTAGTGTAATTGCTAAGTCAGAGCTATGCTTATTTTAAGCTTTGTGTACATGTTGCCAAAGTCACCTTAAAGGGGTTATTCCCATGTAGACCCCATCCGGAACAAGGCCCCTCTCCACATCCTTTCTGGGAATGTATCTATTTTTAAAATGTGAAATCAAACTACACTGAATGGCCCCAAGTACCCTCCCATGACCCATTTTCAAAGGCTTTTCCGGGGGCGTGAACACTGCCTTTGCTCTCGCAGGTTTTGGAAGGGGGAGAATGGCCCTGGTGCAGACAGCGGGGGTCCTGAGGAGCCTGGAGCAGGAGGAGCCCTTCGACCTGTCCCAGAAGCGCCGGGCGTTCCAGTCTGATGGGGAGAGCGCCAGGGGCAGCTCCTGCCACGATGAGGAGGAGGATGACACCTGCTACGAAATGGAGCGGGACAGTCCAGGCCTGGCCTCTCAGAGCCGGCAGCTCTGCACGCCCCAAGATCTCTCCACCAAGGCCAAGCTGGTCCCCAGGGCTCTCCAAGAAGACTGCGAGGAGGAGGAGGAGGAGGATGAGGAGGAGGAGGAGAAGGACACGCCAAAGGAAGAACGCCAGGAGAAGAGCAAGGACAGCCTTGGGGCAGAGGGCTGCCAGGAAAGAGACTGTGCCCACCGAGACGAGGGTCCCAGCCTCAGGGCCCTGCAGAGCACCCGGCGGGGTGCGTCCTTTTCTGATTACTTGTACTTCAAGCACAGAGATGAGAGTTTGAAAGAATTACTGGAGAGGAAAATGGAAAAACAAGCAGTGCTTTTAGGTATCTAAGTGGGCAGTTTTAGAAATACATTTGGAAAAGGAGAACTAGACAGTTCAAACATAGCTTTCTGCATGAGCTGCTATTTGCTGGAGGCTGGCAAATGGCGCACATCTTTACAAATGGCTCAGATTAGATGAGCAGGGACTGTCTCCAGCAACGTAAATGCTTCTCAGGTCATTCACAGGGCCCTTGATATTTAACACACGTGCAGGGTCTTCTTCAGTGTTATTTTGTGCATCTCCAGTATGATAAGCTGTACATATTCTTCTAGATCTCTGACTGTAAGCTGATGCTGAGGTGCTTTTAGAAATTCTATTTTTCTTTGACTAATACACAATACATGGTAAATTTCTTTCAAGTTGCAAAAATATGGTGCTTGACATGTTACCTTATTAATGACTATTTAGTTGAATGTGTGAAAGTTATAATATTTTTCTAGATAGATGGAAATATGAGTAGTTGTATATGTATAAACATTGTCTTTATTAAATAATCAAAAATATCAGAAATGACACAGGAGGGTGAGTTATTGAAAAGAGTGCTGTCACTTAGTTGCTGTAGAAATAAGATACAATTTCAAGAGAAGATGAATAATTCTGACTAAAGGAAACCCAGCTGGGGCCTGCCTTGCTCTGCTGCAGTTACCTTCAGCAGATGTGGCATTAGGAGCATATTTTCAGGTGGCCCAGCAGTACACAGCATCGACAGGCTAATTAATGCCTTGTGTCCTGAGCACAGCTCCCTCCTGGAGACCTTGCTCAGAGGTCTTGTGCCCCACAAAGCAGCTGCAGGAAGAGTTGTCACCTGTGAACAGTGGGGTTTTCCTCAGTGCTGGAGCTGTAGGAGTGGAGGAGGAATTCTCCCTGAAATCGAAGATCTGACTTACTTGGAGGATTAGAATAACCATCAGCTAATCACTAATAAGGGAGATTCTGGGCTGTTCTCAATGCTGCCTGTACGTTAGAATCATCTTGGGGAGCCTTTTAAAGATTACCCATACTGGGACCTCACCCCGCTGAGATTCTGATTTAATTGGTGTAAAGTGAAGCCCCAGCACTGGTTATTTTCCAAATAATGGCCCCATGATTCTTAAATGCAGCCAGGGTTGAAAAAAACTGACTGGGCTAAAATAGTGGCTCCCAGGAGACCCCTCCCAGGGACTCCATAAATATTTTTGTTTCTGGCTTCAGACTCGTTATGGTAGAGAGCAGGAGACCTCAAAATCATACTGCTGACTTAGGCTTTTTATCTGTTCCGTAAGCGCCTCACAAGGACACACACACACACACACACACACACACACACACACACACGCACATTGTATAAACACATACTTTTTGTATTAGAAGATGATGCTTATAATGTTTATGGTCACTGTTAATGTGTTTAAAAATACGTAGCCAGCCTATAGTGACTGTTTCTTCCTAGATGCTTGAATCATGAGCCCAGTGAGTGACAATGACTGTAATGGGTGGGTTGGGCCCAGCAGGCAGGCTTGCCCTAGGCACGAGCACTGAGAAAAGCAGCACTGGCAGGATGTCGCATACGTGTGACTGACCATAAGCAGTAACCCTCTGGTACTGTGTCTGGGTTTATGTAAAGGCTGCGTCTTTCTTTTGGTAGTTTCAACTCTCTATTTGTAGAGCTAGGTACTGTTTATCATTGTGCTTCCTCTCCTCTCAGAGTTCCCAGTGTATTGCTTTAGAAGGTCTGGCCCGCCTCTGACTGCGTTACGCTGGCTTGTTCTCTTGGCCCAGGTGCTTCCCCAGCAGCCTCGTCTAGTCCTTACCGTTCCCCTGCGTGCTTCGTCAACCACTGATGCATTTCTCCTGCCACCTTACCTAAAGCTTCTTCCTTCAGCCTCGCCACCACGAAGTGCCAGAGCTGCTTGGGTTTTCTACTGCCGCCCATGTCCTTAGGTCAGAGCACCTGCAAAGGGGATGGTGAAGGGAATGTGGTGATTTCTGCAGTGACAAATACAACTCTGGACCAAGAGCCTGTTTCAGGTCTTCAGAGGGCAACTGCCTTCCATTCGTTATTAATACAGCTCACCAGTTCCTTTGATGAAATTGCCCAGGAAGCTCATAAAGTGGCTGTGAGGTCCCCAGCTCTTAGGGTCTTGTTACACATTCATCCTTTCAGCATCTATGCATTAAGGACCTACTTAGAAGGGCTGCAGACTTCTAATTTGTTCTGGGTCTGGCTAGCTGGAATAAGAACCAGGACATCTAGAATAGCAAGTTCTAGTCCTTTCCAACTCGAACACGTCATGTGGGAATGTTAGCGGAACAAGGTAATGTTGAGAGGGAGAGAGTATGGTTTAGAAGAGTGGTTTCCAGATCGCCTGTTGAGGAGCCAGAGGTCTCTCTTGGGCCCCTCCAGAGGTGCTAGGGGAGAAGAAGGACTTCAGCTCCCAGGCCCATGTCACTCAGAGTGGCTCACATTTCATCTGTTTTAGTATGTTAGCCTTCCAAGTACAATTTCATTGGGAGGAAGAAAAAAAAAAAGTCTAGGAAAAGTAATAAAAAATTGTTATGGAGTATATTCTAAAGCTTGTTTTTAGTTCTTGATTCTGGGTATAAGATATTTAATTAGCTCTAACTCTGCAGTTAGTATACACTGACCTTCTGAGAACCAAGGTTAAAATGTTGTTTTTATATATCATTGGGTGACCAGCATCCTGGTTTGCCTGAGACAGCCCTGGTTTATACCTGTTGTCCCAGGTAATTTACCAGTAGTGGCACCTGAACTCTTGAAAGTATCCTAGTTTGGGTAATAAAGTATATGGACACCAATGCATAAGTGCAGAGCTCAGGAAAGGGCTGGTCAACCTTGCCTAATAGCTAGTTAACTAGAATGCCAATCTGAGGGAGAGGCCCTGAGGCCATCCTCAGAGAACTAAGGGATGAAACCATCCAAGGTTACCAGCGTTCCAGGGCCAGGACAGCATGACATTCATCACATTGTGACACTCTGAAAATAGGTCACTACCAAATGCTTTCTAGGCTTTTGACCACTGTCATTTTAAACCAACCAACTGACCAGCCAAATGGCATATCTTTCTTTTATTACTTTTCATTCAGGCCTATGATTACCTCCTTGTGTTGACTTCTAATTTTTTTATCCTTTTTTTTTTTAAACATTTGACTCCCCACTAGCCATGAGACTAAGGCTGACCTTTCACAACCCCACAAGGGTAACTGGTATATTTGTATGTGAGTAGTTGCATGAGAAAGCTCAGTGTGCATACTGTATTTATTAAGCCCTGAAGGCATTTAATAAAATATTAACATCGTTTTTTGAATCATGATCTTTGCTTTCCTGGAACAAAATGTAACAGAGCTAACATTTAAAAATCCTTCACATATTTGGACAACATTACACCAAATGTTGATTTTGTACAGAATTCTGGCTTGCTATTTAAAAACTAAAACTCCAAGTGCGTAGCAACCCAAGTTGTGAATATTGCTTTCTGCTTCAGTGAAAAAGCAGTCTACCTGAAAAGAGCATGTAATCTCTATATTTTGTTAATTTAAGCAAATAAAGACATGTGGAACAAGCTGAGTTAATTATTTGCAGATATCTGAAATTTTGCAGGGAAGCTGCCATTGTTGATGTGTCACTCATGCCTTCATATCCTCTGCTAAGGTGGTTCCCATTAGCTGGGGCCTCAGCCCCAGGGACATGGATGTTGGATTCTCCCTCCCTCACAGCTTCAGAAAGGATTAATGACCCTCAGCCCCTCTGCAGGCAGGTGACGTCTTCCTCATCCTCTTCTTTTTTCCTATTCAGAAAACTTAGTTCTAGAAGGGTGTCATGAGGCAGTGGGAGGCTAGACATGAGATTGCCTTATTCTGCATCAAGTTCTTTGTACATTAAAGTTCAGCCAAAAGGCAGTGTACTCTCGTGGGCGAGAACACAGATTTTGGTGTCCGGTTCCTGGGTTCAAAGTCCAGCTCCCCTACTTTCAATCTCTGGAACCTGAGCCCAATTCATGAACTTCTCTGTGTCTCAATTTCCTCATCTATAAAATGAGACTAGGAACAGTACCTTCCTCACCAGGTTGCTTTGTGGGTTAAATGAGTTAATATATGTGAGATGCTTATGTGCCTGTCTCACAGTTTATGCTATGTAAGAATTATCCATTATTACCATCACCAATGTGGCCAGAAAACAGAACACTCAGCTCTCCCTCTTCAGCAGAGAACACACAAAGCTGTGTTGGCATGGGCAGTTGTCCCTTTCTCAGGGACCTTCCCTTTTGAACATGACACACTGTTATATGCCGAGCACTGGGCCAGGTGATTACACACTCCATCTCATTTAAGCCTCACACAACTTTGAGAGACAAATATTGTTACCTCCATTTTACGGATGAGGAAATGGAGGTTCAGGACAATGAAATAACTTGTTCCAAATTACCAGCTTGGTAAGTTCCTTCTTTGCCTTCAAAGCATAGAGCATGTAGCAGGTTGAGTTCTCTAGAAGTAAATGCTCAGGCAAATATGGGTGCAAGATGCTTATTAGGGATTAGCACCAGTGAAAAGAAGGAAGAGAAAAGAAGATGGAGAAAAGAGAAAAGCCAAACTGTGATGTAGGCCCCACCAAGCTCAGCAGGCAGCACTGGGCAAGGATTGCCCATCAGAGCTGTGCCACAGTGCGTGAGATGTGCAGGCCAACCACCCCCACTTGGCTCAGTCACCCAGGAAGGGCGTGACCTCAGGAAGATGTGACTCTTCAGCAGGGACAGACCCTCAAGGAGCCCTGGCTGGAGTCTGGCTGCTGACCGCACACCCCACAGCTCAGTGTAAACCTTTCCTTGAAGAGAGACCGGGTGACTCATCCGTGCATCTACCAGAGTCCACCCCCTGCATCACTCCAGCCCACTTCTTCATGTATATTCATGGAGCAACTCCTCCAGGATTCCAGTGGGCCTCCCTTCCTAAGGGGAAACTCAGAATATGCAAATTAGTGGGACCAACTTTGGCAGCAATTATTCTAAGAGACACAACTGACACTCATTTATCTCCTCCTCCATTGCTTGTCTAAAATCCCTGTCACCTTCAGCCTCAGTGGCTTTCCAGACCCAAGGGACCTGAGTCTTGGTCATCATGCTGCTATAGACTGAATGTGTCTCCCCTCCCCCCAATTCCTACGTTGAAGCCCCAACCCCTAGTATGACAGTATTTGGAGGTGGGGCCTTTGGGAGGTAATTAGGTTTAGATGAAGTCATAAGGGTGAGGCTATAATGGGATTAATATCCCTACAAGAAAAGGAGTAGACCTGAGCCCTCTCTCTCCCTACCATGTGAGGACACAGCAAGAATGCAGCCATCTGAAAACCAGGAAACAGGGCCTTACCAGACACAGAACCTGCCAGCACCTTGATCTTGGACTTCCCAGCCTCCAGAACTGAGAAATAAATGTCTGTTATTTACGCCTTAATACCATAGACATACCCAGTCTATGGTATTAGTTATAGCAGCCCAAGCAGACTAAGACACATACCGTTGTGAGACTGGCATTGCTGTACCTGTTCATTTACAGTCACGAATGGAGAAGGAAGTAGCAAAAGAAGCCCACGTGAGTCAAGTAGGTGCCACACATCCTCCTCCTTGACCTATTGTGTAACAACAGCTCTGCTCCCTCCTCGTGATCAGAACACAACAGAGAGCGAGAGTGATGCAAGGAGAGGCTGACGTGGAAAGCCACTGAGCATGAGGGTGAAATAATGAGACTGACATTTTCTAAAGCTCATCCTGGCGTAGTGTGGAGGATATGTTGGAAGGGAGCCAGGAGGATGCTGGGAAACCATTCAGAGGCAGTTTTAATAGTCTTTGAGAGAGAATATTGGCCTGGATTAAGGAGGTAGCAAAGAAGAAGCTAGAAATGGATGGTTCAAAATCTGTTTTGGAGGTCCAATTGACGTGTTCTGCCAAAGGCAAATTTTAATAAGACAAATGCATATTTTTGAAAGTACAAAACAAAATGACACTTAATATGAGATTCACCTCCTCACATAGTGACGGAAGAGATGATTTAGATTTTTATAGCTATCATAAAACCCATGCTTTTTATTTGGTTACCAGGAGAGCATATTTACCAGGTATGTAACATATGTAGAATTAAGTCCATCAGGTTTCTCTCAGTTTGTTCTGAGTTACAATTGATGAAGAAGTAAATAGTCGAGACTGAAAAAGACAATGAAGCTTCTCAGGCACAGATCCTGGGGAGAAACAGCAGAAGTGAAGACAAATGAGCAGAGTTACAGACCAGAGAACCTAATGGAGAGAGGCTAAGAACCCCAAGACCATAGGGGGAAGCTGCAAAAATTCCATTTCCTCCCCACAGGCCCTGAGGACATCTCTGACCCAGCCAGTAAAATAATACATGTTCATGATAACAAACTTGCATGGTCAAAGAACAATTAGTTAATCTCTACCATATTTATTAAGTAAATGCACTCCAAATATATTTTCATTTTAAACTCTTCAGTTCTCAAAGGGTGACAGACAGTCCAGTGATCTGGAAAATTGTATCCAGTGTACACATTATTTTGTAACGAGGCAGAATAAATGAGACATTGTCATATTTTAAGTCCCAAAATGAATTGGCCCATGGCACTACAGGCAACACCTTAAGAAGAAATGAAAAACAAAAACATGTGGAAGGAGTTTGTCCCTGCCCTTAAGGAACACACAGTTCTTAGCAGGCCTTCGGAGGCTGGCAGGAACACGGCTAATGGTTTTCCAAATCTCCTTTCTCCAAACCTCCAAACTCTTAAAGCTAAAAACTGTCCTCTCTGTGAAAACCCAGGTGTGAACACAGTTGGTTCCTTAAAGCATTGTGGCGTTTCATTTTTTTTTTCTTTTTGCACAGCAAAGCTGAGCCAAGAGTAACTTCCAGTCCCGTTACAAACCTGCTCTACAAGTGGAGGAAGACATGCTCATTTGATAGCTGGGGAGTGACCCTTATAGGGTCCCTGGGGACCCAGTATCAGTGGCGCTCACTGTTTCCTCTTCCCTGGATGCAACAATATATTAAGAGAGACAGAAAAAAAGGAGGTTGGCTCTTTTCATGATTTTCCTTTTTAATTTTTGTTGAAAATGGAACTGTGTTCTCTTGATCCTTCAAACAAATGGAGGGGAAGTGGAAGCCCAAAAGTTTCTCTTAGGCTCCCCAGAGAGGGGGCTGTGTTTGTAGTTTGTTGTGGGAAAAGTTCTCGTGTATCTGCTGCATTGTCACGTCGTACCAGAGTGATTTGCAGTAGGAAGTTTGGGATGAATACAATGTCTACATAAGAGAAAGTGATGGAGCCATAGTCTTTGAATCAAAGATCTCAATTTTCCCTTCATCTCTAAGACATGCTTCCCCTGACCTCCACCCCTTATCTTTATTAAATGATGAAAGAGACACAAGAACCCTCTGTGAACTTGACCCAAACAGAAAGTCCAGCCAGGAATCCTTGCTATTCAGAATGCACTTGGGCAGCCGGGGGTGCGGGGGAAGGGTGCTTGAAAGACATGCCAGAGATCACAGAGGCAATGTGAAGGCGGAGGAGGGGGTGCTAAAAGCTTCTGATCATACCTGAAGAATCGTTTTAAACTGATGTTTGAAATATGCATTATGAGTCTTTTCACAGGGCAGGTCTTAAACAAATAGTCTTGGGAAGGAAAATGAAGAGATACGAGGCCTGACAATTAAGTTCTCAAATTTGTTGCAACGATGTTGCTGACCTTATTTGATATCAGAGGGATTATTCATTTTGAATTCACACCAACTGGACAAACAGTTAACCAAGTTTACTATTTGGAAGTGCTGAAAAGCCTGATTGGAAAAGTTAGACGACCTGAACTTTTTAGTCAACAATTCATGGCTCTTGCATCACAACAATGCACCAGCTCACATGGCACTGTCTGTGAGGGAGTTTTTAGCCAGTAAATAAATAACTGTATTGGAACACCCTCCCTACTCACCTGATCTTGCCCCCCAATGACTCATTTCTTTACCCAAATATAAAAGAAATATTTAAAGGAAGACATTTTGATGACATTCAGGACATCAAGGGTAATATGACAGTAGCTCTGGTGGCCATTCCAGAAAAAGAGTTCCAAAATTGCTTTGAAGGGTGGATTAGGCATGAGCATCAGTGCATAGCTTCCCAAGGGGAGTAATTCAAAGGTGGTTGTAGTGATATTCAGCAATGAGGTATGTAGCACTTTTTCTAGGATGAGTTCGCAAACTTAATTGTCCTATCTCGTATCAAGACATATCTAAAAGGATTAAAAGAATACTTCTTTCATTTTAGCAAGTCACCATATTAAGATGCTGGTAAATAATTTTGTTTCTTCTTCTAGAAAGTAGTAATGATGAAACTCGTCTGCAACCTGTGTCGGATGAAGGGGTGGATGAGGTAAAATCTATTAATCATTCTGGACTTGCAGAGATGATAGCTGTGTCATTTGCCATTGTTGAAGGGCCACTTCCCTTCCAACCTAGAGCAAGTCTAGTGAAGAAAACAGCTTCACATGGAGTGTCAGGTTAGCCAAGTCAGAAGACTTTAAA